CCTTCAGCTTAATCGCGCTGCTTTTACAGGGGTTGTTTTATGATAGAAAAAAGAAGAAAAAAAGATAAACGTATATACAAAAATATTTACAAAATTACAATATTTGTGGGTAGAAAATTGATCACAATTATCTAAAATCGCATAAATTAGAAACATAAATTATAAATATAAATCTCATAATTATAAAATAACCTACCAGTTTTATTGGACAGAATAAGCTTAGAAATACTCCTCCAGCTTGGCGAGACTAGTAATGGTGAAAATGCGTTTGGCAGCTCAAAGAACTACATGAACGGATACAATATGGATCGTATATATAGACAAAAGGTACATATATGTTTGTACATATATATGTTGTACATATATATATATATATATATATATATATATATATATATATATATATATATATATATATATATATATGTTAAAACTAAAATTAGTCACACATTTCCGTACGTGCCTAATATACAAAAGTATACAAAATATGCCAACTTAAAAAAATAGTCTAAAGCGCAAGACTGCAATATACATTAACGAGAAGTGACGGCTGGGCATTAGTAAATCTGTAACAACTCATGCAGTGGCGGTGTGACGGTGCTACAATGCGCGCCCGAATCGGTTTTCCGATTTGTCCAAATTCAACAGGAAGGGGGTAGTGCTATCAAGCTTTTGTACAACCGCTCCCAGGTATATAAGCCTGGGATTTTCATAACATCGCATATAACAGGTATTTTTATTGTTATCCATTGATTGTTCAATTAGAAAAATAGCGTTAAATAAACTAATTGGTGGTACCCCTAAAGAACAGGTCCTATCCGAACATTACAGAAACATATATGATCAGTTAATTAGCCTTTCTCACGATGACGTTTTGGGGTACTTTCAATTTTCTGAAATAGGTTTAAAAATTATGATTTAACAAGAAAAGTAATTTTTTCAAAATCAACAGTCCATTTAAAGAATAACCCAGCCTAAAATTAAAAACTGTGGCCGTTATGAGGTCTCACGCTTGTGGTTTTGAAAAAAAGCACCCCAGAAATGGCGGCATATTCGTCATCGTGAGAAAGGCTAATTGTAATGGGGTTTGTTTGTCTAATTGTCTTATTTCTGCATGCATAACCTAGTATATTGCATAACTTTATATAAACTTAAAGAGCAAAGAAACATCCATCCATAACTCCATGAAATCTTACTTACCAGAGTAAAACTAAGGTCGGCGGTCTTACTTTGAATTTCTTCTTGATCTGAGGTCAAATCTTCATTATTCTATAAAAATATAGAAATGTTGTTCCAAACTAAATGTCTGCAGTGATAACGGCAATTTTAGATATCGTGCTATTAGAAATTAGAAATAATATGAAATGGGTCCTATTAATTAAACGGATATTATTTCCCTCTTCAGTAGTACACTTACGCTTGTATTCTAAAAGCTGCCTCACCCATTGAGTGGAAGATTCTAATCATTTCATAGCGATTCCTTGCGGGCGGTATTTTCAATGCTTGATTTTGAATGTTTTATTTTGAATCTTTCCATTGCATGATTATGAAGGGACTCTCAATGATCAGTGATAACAATATTTCTATGCCACATTCAATGTGTGCGAGTGTCAGTGTCGGGGGTTAGCGCGCAGGGGCCAGGAGCCGGTTGTTCGAAAGCCGTTTAGCTTAAACAGTCGATAAGCCAAAATTTAAAAATATTCTCATAGATCTTGTCAATGACTGAACCTGTATCTTATGCATTTAATATGTACTTCCATTGACAATTAAACTATATACATCGAAATATTTCAGCTAGTCGTTCAATAAATAGATGATTTTGTTTTCCATTTTGAACCTATCCACCGTTAACTAAACGCCTTTTGAACAACCGGCCCCAGTTGCATAAAAGACTAGTTAAAATTTAACTGTAGTTAAGGGCAGAAGTGGAAAATCAGAGTCGGATTTAACTATGCAACGTGTAGTTAAATAGTTTTACACAACCGGCCCCTTAATTTAAACTAATTTAACTAATCATATCAAATGTGATATAACAACTGACGAAAATCGGGTTACAAACTCTCGTGATAAAGGCCCTACGTCGACAATTTTTTTTACCGATTATAGGCAGTTATAATTTTCTTGTATGATTTAATAAGTATTAAATATGCAGTATTTAATACTTACGTGGTGTACCTACAAGTTATTATAATTAATTAATTAATTAAAAAATAAATAATTAATTAAATAATTATAGGCAGTTGTTATACTACACGTGATACGAAGTTGTTTGAAGACATGGTCTGATCTACATTGGTCTGACTATAGCTGATAGATGCATGATAGCTGATCATATAAGAGGAAAAACTATATATATATATATATATATAAAGGAAAAACTGACATTACCAAACAAAAAGAGAATACTTACACTTATTGAGCCAAATTCAAACAAATTTTCCCACCCCAATTTAAATGGAAGCATGTTTGCTTTAAGAAAGACAATGCATCCAATATCATTCTTTGCCAGTTTTAATTTTACTTTAATAGCCTTCCTTGTTTTAACATCAACTATCTCGCTGACTAGTTCGCTTGAATACTCGACACGACGTCGAGCATTGCATTCAAGTGTTACGAGTTTTCCGCCACTGGAGCAAGCTGAATGCCATTCGCTATCCTTGAGATCATGTCCATGGATTGACAAAACACCGGATACCTTTCGCAAGTCAACGCTACCAAGTATGTACACAGTCTAAAAGAAAAATACCCAGAAATAGATACCTCAATATAATAAAATGGTTTCTCTTTCACGTTATAAATTCGAGGAGGGCTTACCATGAGCTAAGAAATTGGAATCTGAATGATGTATTCATATTCATCATCTTATTCATAAAATAGGTACCATAGTTACCATATGTATAGTTTCCCACATATTGGAATTAGATGAACTACTCGCTGTATAATAGCTTACATACCATGCATAGTCAAAAAAAGCCAGGGGCTGGTTTCTGAAAGCGCTATCCATGGGATAGTGGCCCCTTATGCAGTAAAACTTTTATTAAATCTTCTAAAATTTTGAAATCTTTAATAAGTGTTAGCACCAATCCTTAGTTTACTGCTTTTCAGGTATTTTTAGAACAGTTGAAAATTAATTTATTATTGTGTTATATTGTGTTATATCCAGCCTTCGATCCTGCAACAGTCCCCAGTGATACAGAGAGAACTCGTGATAATTTAACAAATGCTTCCACGCTTTCATTTATAAGTTTTGTGTATATAAACCTATATTATAAAACTATTATACCATTCTCCTGTCATATATGGCTGACAACTCATATACAACTTCAGCTCACAGTATAGTTTTTCATTCTAGGCGCTTATGTATGCATGCATGTCGCTGAGTAGGAAAATTTTGAACCTTGCACAGTTAGAAAACATAGGCAAAGAAATATAAGGATGTCCAAATGTCCCCTAGAGCCTATAGTTTGCAGTTATTATTGGTGTGAGGGTAATTGTCATTTGTTTAATGTCATTTGTTTTTAATGCTAATTTTAATTTAGAATAAGGCACTAAATTGTTGTATTTTGCAGAGAATCGAGAAAGTTTGTTGGACTAGCTGGTCCAAGTTGTGCATAATTTGAAAAAAAAATAAACATTTGGCTAATGCAATTTCTCATATCTTTATTTGATTAAAAAAAAACAACATTATAATTAAAATTGATTAAATGTAGTCTGTTTCATACTGTTAATTAAAGTCTGTTTCATACTGTGTTATTCAAACACTGTTGGTAACCTACCTGTTTACATTTTCCTAACAGTAAGACGCAATCAGCAATATCATTAGAGGGTAATCTTAACAGACTATAACAAAAAAAGATAAACAATGCTAATTATACAAACAGTACTGTACATAAGTAACAATGATAAATTTTCCTTGTCAATCAGTATTACACATAGTTACTCAACATTTCACTTAGGAACTTCAGTTTTTTATTGTCCCAAGCACTAAAATTAGCATGTTTCACATTATTTTGCCATTACAAGCTACTGAAGCTAGGCCATGCCCCATTATTTAGGGCATGATCGGGTATTTTCACTAAAAACATTACAAGGTCAAGGGATCCTACCCAATGCCAGGATATAAAGAGAGAGAGACCTAATAATTTCCCTTCTTCTTGTGTTTATTCGTCAATATTCGAGAGGGTGCAGTTGCACGTTTTATTAATCACCCACCAGTCCACGGAAACTTTCGTCCATGGTATGTGGAAATTATCTGACAAAGTTTATTAAATACGATGAATGAAAATACTTGTCAGACACTTCCGATATATTTGAAAATTATGTTTACCTATTAGATGATGGTTCTCCTAACGACATTCTCTTCCTGGAACAAATTCATGGAGAATATGCAAACATTCGAATCTTCTTTGAAATTGTTGACAAAAAACAATAATAATTTTTAAAACCAAATTTAAACGCCTGCGATCCTTTAAGCGAAAACAAGATTCAATACTTCATCTTATGAGACTAAAATGGATGACATTCGTGGACACAGAACAGGAAGTGCATGTGTTTGCGTTGCCTTGGCAGGTGAATGCTGTGTGGCATTTCTGCAAGCCGTTACAGAACAATAAACTATTTGATTTTTTGACATATTCTCAAGCCTTTGTCGAAACCTTGAAGAATGGTGAGTAGCGTTTAAGGTTGTTTCTGGTGCAACGTATGAAACCCGATTTCTAGGGATTTTACATCTAATTCTATTAAATAATCACGCAAGCGGCTTTTTTAATATGCACTGTGCACAAAATGCATTCAAACTAATATTATGTATATTTGGGTTGTAATGATTTATAAATATATAGTTATATTTATAAATATATAGTTTTAAATATATCTTTGTATATTTTGGTTGAGTAACTTGAGTTCAGGAGATACACTTGGACGATTTTGCAAAGCTTAGTAAAATAACAAACTGAGTTCAGTGTAACAGTATGGGGGCACGAATTGTATACAATGGGCACGTAATACACTTCATACCAATCACTTTCGACGGAAAAGGGGATAAAATTATGGTGAAGTAGTGTTAAACTGTTCACTGTAATGAGTGAGATGATACATAGAATTGTGTTCAACATTGGAATGGCAACATTTCCCTGATTGGGCCATATCCATGATGAACCCTATAAACAACAACATTACAAAAGAATTAACACTTCCTATTCCGGTAAGATGCATATGTCTATCAAAAATATATAAGCTGCTGTTGAAGCCTCAGTCTGATGAAGACTAAGGGCTTGACCATTCACTAATTAGTATAGCAGCGTTGTTTAGATCTGATGTCTTTTATATGTGCACATGTACAATGTGCTGTGTGGATTAATTGGTAATCTTCTATGAACATATTAATTGTTGGCTATTGCAACCACAAGTTGCCTATAACTGAATGAATTTGATGTTTTTTTAACCTCTGAACCTCAATGAAAACTAAACTGAACAAATAGCAACCTATATAACAATGTTAGCAATTACCAATCATTTTGTAACAATAACAAGGTGCAACTACAAGTGCAAACCACATTTTTTGCACTAAAATTGACTATTTGACTGCCTTGATTGAGCTATTAAACATTACTTATTGTACAAAGCAATAAAATTAATGAATAAACAATAAGCTATAAATAGCATGGAAGAAATATATTTATTTGGTCATTTACATGAGTTTCATATGATTTGAATAATATGTTAGCTAGTTAATTAATTATAGATATGTGAATTGGCTGTCTTTAGTCACCTGGAAGATGCCTAATCTATTGAAATGTGCTATTGCAATATATATACTACATGCCATTCTTCATCTGATAAATCATTTTTTGCATGTCAGACATATATTAATTATAGCAAACAGCATCCGTAGAACTGCAACAAATTCAAATTGTGCCAGCCTTTATTTTCTTTCTGCCTATCTTTGGTTAATTTGAAAGTATACATAAGCTATAATGCACCTCAATATATTATGCAGATATACCTGATAAAACAGGCATGCATTTTTTTCTGTTTACAACCATGTCCCATTGCAAGGTTGTAAAAAATGTCTGAAATCACACTTTACCTTACTTGATACATGTTAATTGAGCATATGGTACTTTGTGATTGTGTTAATTAATGCTCATTAATGCTCATTCTTACCAGTGCGTGAGGGCCGTAGCTAAATACTTAATTAGGCAGGTGTACATACCCCTATTTATAATTTTGAAAGCTATTGTTCCTATGGCCAGTGCAATGCAGTAGCAGATACAGCATTGAATGTCAAAATAGTTACAACAGCCTTGATCATCATAAATTTTCAAATTTATATACTTTTATAACAGTGTTGTTTTATTGCGATTGATTATAATTATTTAAATAAGCTATTTTGATTGGAACAGTTATAGCAACAAAGGCGAAGTAGGGGTTCTCATGTTTAATGTGGGGTCTTAGCGCCCCAAGAAATTGGTAACTCGCCTCTGAACAGCAATATCATCAAGATATTGAAGGTCATGTTTCCGTAATCATAAGTGAATATGATTATTGCTTTAAATATCCAGGAATAAGGTGCTAGCTGTCCTCGGCGGTTCTATAGACCACGCACGTAAAACAATGACAGTAAACCAATACAATTTTAAAGGTTACAAAACAGAATCAAAAGATTTTTAACATCTTGAAACCCAAAATATGTTAAAACAAGAAAGACTAGGATGATTTTATTGCCGCATAATTATCAACCAGCAGCTAGACTAACTGGTTATATTTCGTGTTTCAAAATGATTATCCACACCGTAAAATCCTGATATACAGTATTTGTGTCTCAAATTTTTTCCAGATTTACAGTAATGAATAATTTCTGTTTAATGTCAGGGTGATATCGGGATAAATGAACATCATCAAGAAACAATAATAAATTACTTGAGGTTTGCCCGATACAATCGTGGACAATGCTTACGTTCCGTGGATGCATGTTTTGAAGAATATAAAGACGGTCGGTAAGTTTATTCTTGTTTTGATGAAAGGATCCTAGCTATAGCTAGTATAATCATAAATCGTCTTTTTGCCAGACTGCAAGTTTCCCACTAGCTAGGCTAAATTTTTCGATCTAACGAAATTTTTTGCCTGATTTTCCTTTCAATAGTGAGAATTTCGACCGTAGAGGAATCCGGCCTTTGACCGGTCACAATTAAAAAGAAAATTAAACAAATAAAAATTGATTCGACTCGCCTGGGTCAACAACTTTCCACTCGTTTAAAAGCTCTCTAGAACTCTTACTTTCCCTTTCGCGAGGGGGATTGTATTTCACTTCACGTTCCAGGGAATAGGAGAGAAGGGAAATATATTTTTTACGAGTATTTGATGGCAAAAAGCCTACCAGTACTATGACCAGCAGACCATTGTTCATAAGGGTAAAAATTTCTTGAGTGGTAGACGTCCTCTGGTTGAAATATTTACTAACATTCAAGCTTTCGACTGCTAGTCTGCATTTTCGACTTCGTTTGACAAGGCTAGGGGATTTTAATCGTTCCAAATCTGCCATCTACAGCTTGGTTGAAGATACATATACTTTGGAAGAAGTCCTAGAAATGCTTCACAGCTTGCAGTCTGTTGTTAAAGGGGAAGTGGAATCAGAGTTAATAAACACCGCGCACACGAATGTTCTGCTATTGAGGCAACTCTTTTCTCAGTCGGAAAAATGGTATCTTAATCTGCAAGCTGATATATCTGAATTAGAAAATAGGTAAGGTCACTCAATAATATTAACTTTGTAGTTATTGCAACAAAAGAGAATCCCCATAAGGACTTGCCATTATCTACATGTACAAGCGAATTACATGTACAGTAAGGTATCAGTTATGTTGAAAGCTTGTCTGCATGTATAATAAGCTTTACAATAATTTAAATAATTTGAAAAAAAATTGGTACGTACACTATGTAAACTGTTGTGGGTATAATTCGATACATACAGTATGTAAGAACAACTTTGCCTTCAATTTAAGTCTGCAATACTTAGGGAACTTATTGAAGAAATCGCGAAGTTCGAAGAAAGAGAATTCTCAGCAAAGAAGACTGTTTCGCAGGTACGTGTCCATGCAGGGTGTTTAAACTGCACAAAAATCCACAAACAATACAATGCGTACTGTCAGATCACAATTCAAAACTTAATTTGTAACTGTGTATATTGACAATACAATATCAATATAAGCGGCAAAAAATGCTGAATGCATGTGGACAATACAATCAATAACTATATAAGCAAAAAATGCTGAACATCTCTGTTCGGCATGAAATTTATACAGCGATTAATAAAGAAAAGTCGTCTTTTAACCCGAGAGCACAAACAAACTACATTCTATGTTATTTTTTACCTTATTTATATTCACTGGCATGTTCACTGTAAAATTTTACTAAATTTAAAACTTTCTAAACTAGACTAAACTTTCTAAAGTCTCTTCTTTAGTCTAGACTATAAAGCATGCGAGATTGCATAGAAAGATTGGTTGCATACATTGAAAAATAATGTGGAACGTTTTGCCCTGCGAAGTTGTCAATTTTTTTAAAGGCTTCTTATTAAGGCAACGTATCGTATATATTTTAATTACGTATATGGTTACATATTTTCTCTAGACGTCTGTTTCGTCCAAGTTAGCTCAAAAACCGAAGCTCGAACCTCTTAGTGATGGCAGCGGTTCAACACTGTTACAAATGGTAAGCATCTCGTTATGGTGAAGGAATATATAATACATACTGTAGGTTATCTGTTTCTTTATTTATAGATGGAAGGTGTAAATCTTTCTAAATGTTTTGCTTTATCGTTTCGGTCTAATGAGTATAAATTTAGTCAATATTGTTTTTCCAATCCAGTGTTTAGTTCTAGCGCTTCTCCATGCATCGCGCATTCTACATGACTAAACTTTTAAGCCTTTACTCTCGTGGGGTCGGTTGCCAAAAGGGAATAAAAGCTGCCACCGTAGATGGTGACTGTAAAAACTTGCTGGCGCTGGGCCTCATATACATCATTAATTTTTTTTGGTACTTTTGCGAATTAAGTTTATTTCCTTTCAATGAAACATTACTTTAAGACCTATAAACAGGCAGAATGTTCTCTTCAAGCCGAACCAACTTCCACAAAGACCGTTCGATTTTATTGCTTTGTAGCCGTATATATATTCTGCAATGAGTGCATGATTTCATGCAGTGGAGTTGGTTTGAAAAGTTAGAACGCTGCCATGCACCAAATAATGACAGAAAAGCTAGGCACGCTTGTGTTCATATTTTCAGTCCCCTATACGCGAGAGCGTTCCGGGGTATATTTTAAAGGCTTTTTACATGGCACATTACCGTATTAAATTGTTATTGTCTTTACGAATACAGAAATTATCCCTATGCATAATATAGTTTTATTGATTAACTACGATAGTTGTCATCTTAGATTATTAGTTTGACACACAGTATAATCATTATTATGCCGTATATTCTCGTGAAATTACGGGAAAATATAAGCGAGTATTTTTAATTAACGATTTCAAATAAATATTTTACAGTCTTTCAAATAATCATTCGTGTGCATGTTTATAATGTCGTCAAAGCGATACTTTATTTTTAACTCGTACAAGAACAAAAAAAGATGAAACAGTTGCAAAGTTTCTTCATAAAACAAAGCTATATAGCGATACTGTTCATCGCGTATCTGCTTCCATAGTGTCGCTTCTTTATATAACAGAAGGTTTAAATTTGGTTTAGCATCGGAATATAGAAACTGGATGCATGCATGTGTAGTAGGAGAGTCTCGTATATAATATATAGTCATAGTCTGTTGTTTGGTTAACATTTTTATGACAGATTCTATACTGAAACTACATATAGCTATATCAAATTTGTGTTCATAATAACACATCATTCTAATTTTTATTTCTACTGACGTACTGCATGCATTCTATACTACTGTCGTTGCAATTGAAATGTTGATAAAATATTGCATCAAATTCAGTACCTAAGTTTGTCAAGACATTTGTTGGGAAATTGGTCAATTTCCTGTAAGTCCGAATCGCCAATGATTTTTGTTCAGTGACTGAACAAGTATATATTGGAACAGGAAGTTGGGCAATTTCAAATATCTTTATCAAATCAAGGTAACGAATTGATGTAATATTTTTTTCAACACTTTTTCATTGCAACGACGGTGATAGTTTCCAAAAAATTAGTGACTCGAGAGCTAGACTGACCATCTTCATATTTTAAATTGATGATATATGTGCTCCGTTGTACATATATGTCGGCTTTGTTCAAACCGTAAGAATAAACTCAGTAGGCATAAGCACATATTATGACTTCTGCCGCATAAATAAAAAGAATGCAGGTGCTTGCATGTTATTGTTTACATTCATTCCATATATTCTCCGTATCCTAAACTTGTAAAAGTTTACATAAGTTTGTGGCTTAAGGAAATAGTAGAGTAGTTTTGATAGTGTTATTAATTGCCATAATTTCAATACGTTTTGAAGTTTGTTATGATATTTTATAACTTATATAATTGAAACGCTTTTTTACTAATAAACCAAATTTTCATCTTTCATAAATTTTATTATTTCTGTTTTTTTAAGTCTATCTGTATATATAGGGCCTAGTGATTAGTTTTCAAAAATTGCATGTGCTGTTTTCCGAGTAGATGAATGATAAAATAAAGCGCCACATTTTTGTGGATTTGTGATTCATTATATAAGCCTTTATTGCTCATTCTAAACTCGATGAAACGTAATTAAATTAAGGACACATAAAGTACGTGAAATTGTACACAATTTGTGTTTAAGGAGGAATTACGGTGTGAATAATCATTAAAGGAGCCTTTTGCAATCCTGACAAGAATTAAGGCATTTCAGCCTAATTTTAGAACAGTGCAAGTTATTTTTACACAAAAACATTGAAAATAAAATCTCTATAAATATAATAAAAATAACCGAGGTGCATCGTGGCAGTGTTTTCAAATGCATGTAATCTGTCAAATGTAGTATATCAGCTGCCTATAATTCGCCCTAGGCCTTTTTCAGATGAGTCAAAAGTTTAGCTGCCTTGAACCTGTATGATCGAAAGGAGAAGCATTTTGCCCATTTTTTCTAGGTAGTTTCGATAATCAAAATATAGATTTTTATGGGTAATGAGAGATCAGAATAGATAACCTTGTTGCATGAGTTTGTGATATGATCTGGCTATGAACAATTAAGATAGGAATCTACTGAAGTGAATGCGCATAATTTATATGATCTATGCATGTATGTATATGACGTGCAGTATCAACACAACTCAATATCGCCCTCTTGAAAAATATTTCCAACGCAAGGATGAGAATATAGTATGCGTTCTCAAAATGGAATCTGCCATGAAATTCGAACCGTCATTTGAAATGGGAATTCTGCGAAGTCTCGTACAGCATATGTATACGGTATTTTCCCAGCATTTATTTCATTATTGCTTGTTCATTGCTAAATCCTTTTAAATCATACATTTAGATTGCTCCCTGCACAAAAAGAAACGTATGATTCTAATATGAAATATGTAGCTTGCCGTACACTGATATATAAAGAGGCTAGATTTATAGATGTATATGATTAGAGAAAGTTATGTTTTATACTTTTTAACTATAGGCGCAGGCTATAAAGCATTAAATAATTCCCAAATATGAGTTTCTTAATTGGGATAGTTTGAAATGACATAATTAATGCCATAAGCTTCACAGCGCCCTTAAAAAACGCCCCAAACTAAACGCCCAGTTAACACTGTCAAATTTCCTTTGATCCAGTTGGAATTTGCGAAAAGCAAATCCCTCATTTTCAAAGTATTTGGTATAGAAATTCAAGGGAACTGAGACCGTGTAGTTAACACCGGGTTGTTTCATCGTGATACTCTTAACTAAAACTTAGATTTATCAGTGCAAATTTTCTCCTGTGAACCAAGAACTTTAACGGTGTAAACCAGGCCTGATATAACGGAGTATTGGGTACTATATTTCACAAGGAATAGAAAATATATTTGACACACGCGATATTGAGCATGAAGTGACCTACACCATCTCGTGCGTTCTAAATAACGGACAAATTGGAACAATCTTCTCTTTGCTAAATAAGGCGTTTTTGCTGTGATGAATGAGATTTAGGTTGTTGATGCGTAATTTGAGATCACGAACATCATCAGATCAGAGCCAGAGAATTTGGGAGGCCGAAGCAAAATAAATTTTAAATCATCGTTGCCTTCCCTTCCCCACGTTTACTTTTGACCTTCGGTTCAACCTTATGCCCAATGAAAATTGCCCCCTCTCTCTCCCCTCTGATAGACTCCGCATGAGATTTCACTTCAGGATGTTTGTTCCTCGAAACAAAAAAACTAAACATTGTAATTAATTTTTAGTTATATTTTTGGGTACGTAATTTTGCTTAGTTGTCGTCATATTTTATTTTCAAATTCCAGATTCCTCTTATTCATACATTGTTGTTTATTTAGGAAATTAATAGACTCCAAGAAGAAAATGCTAGGTTGAAAGAAAAAATTAAAATGAGTGAATCGATGGTAATTATAACCTACAGATGGCGGTTATATAAAACTCTTTAACCACACTTTGCGTAGTTAAATCCTATAGTTAACTCAGAAATACCCAACTCTGATTGGCCAATTCTGTCCTTAACTACTTTTATACAAATGGCCCCTGATTACTGTACAAAGTACCTATATCGCTGGCAGATCCGCATATCGCTGAATACAGTGGGAGGGCATCTTTAAATAGAAGTGGTATATGTTTATAATATTCATGTTCACACCGCTTTCATATACGAAATCAGTATGACAAATATTCGAACATCCACCACATCACCTCACTTCATCCATTCATAAAAGCGGCCAGATTTTATGTATAATTATATTCAATTTGAGACCTTATCCTTTAGTGAAACACGCGCAGTCATCACACCAAATGATATAATCATATCTTTTCGAATGTGTAGGCGGCCTGTGTGCTGGACGAGAGAAGTAAGTTGAAAGCCGATCTGGAAAAGACCCAGTCACAACTGTCAACAATGTCGCAATCTGGGGATGGAGAGGAAATCAAGGAACTGGAAAGGAGAATGCAAACAGTAACAATGGAAATGGAAAATGTTAGAAAAGTAAGTATCACGTGGCACCGTTTTAACGGATAGAGCGAGTAGCATTTTTTTAAAAGCACGCTGCTGTAAAAATGCCTCAAAAGCATTTACAGGAACAACGATTTCTAAACCGAAACTCTAATTTGCGAATATGGTATTGTCAATTTGAGTTATATCGAAGAACATCACTATAAAATCCATGTAAATTAAATCCATGAAAAAATGTGCAGAGTATAGTTTAGTATTTATCATACTGGCATTAATTTGGGTAAGATAAATTTGCATAATTGAGAGCTCTGAGAACAAAATCCTGGAAACGTCGTTATAGATTCTTTTGTCACGTAGCACTCACCAGTTGGCTCATCATATATGAATAAAAACAACTGTATACACTTTACGAAACAACAAACAAAACATGATGAAATATTAACCCGGTAATTACACTATAGTGAATACGGTTTATACTTTCTGTTATATCATTTTAAGGCTAGTTCCACTGGCGGTGGTAAAGTTTCCGAAATAGGGGAGCAACTCTCAAATGCCAAGGTATAATAGCTAGATGCCATTTTGGTGGACACCAGCATAGATTATTTTAAATCCCTCTGCTTTCGTTTTTTAATCTCAAAACGTGCGTTTATCATGACCATTGAGATCACGTGAATATAAACATTCTTGACACATATAGCTGCTCAGAATTTACGTATGTGTTTTAAAACGTCCTAGAAAAAGAGAATCACGTCAGGTTGTTTATTTATAATCTATAAAGTATGAATATGTTATGTTTCTTTGTAGCATGAAATCCTGCGGTTACAACACGATTTGCAAGAGAAGGAAAAAGTAAGTGGTCTGGAAAACTTACTTTTATTCTTGTTACATAATTTCGTGAAACTTAGTATTATACCATTATATCCTTTCTATTCATGCTATTATCATCATCCCCGATGCCACCCACTATATTTAATCGGCCTTGTACGGTATAGTTCATATGACATGTCGTATTTACTGGGTTGCCTGTCTTTACAATGGCAAAATTGTACGTATTACCGTAATGTGGCTAAGTCAAAGTATTCATCTTATAGGAATTGACGAAAAAATTTAATGAAACGACACAATATACAAACATGAAGCAAATGCTACAGACCAAGAATGAACAGATGAAGAAACTTAGGCAAAGACTAAAGAAGTAAGCGATTGTAACCTGATCAGGTTGACAAAATTCATCATTATTATTTCATTTCGTTATTTTAGAGTGTCTTCATTAGCGTTTTATAGTATAACAGTTAGGTGTGTCACAGTTACAAAGTGCTTTTGCACGGGAAAACTATCGCACTTTGAAATCCCTCCGTGAGTGTTTTCCAATTGTAAGAATCTTTGCATTTGTTTTCTCTATATGTCTTCATTCTGGGTTTGTTTATGTTTGACACTCCAGCTGTTTGTCAGTCCAGCTGATCAAGATCATGAGGTCACGAGGTGCCTCGACAAGACTGAATTATTCGTCCCCGTTCTTCCAAGTAATAGTTTAAATGGGGTGGAGTAATAGTTTAAACTAAATTACAATTGATTTGTTGATTGTTTTCGTATCTATTTTGTTCGCCTAGAGCTAGGGAAACCACGTTTAACCATTACGCGTGGTAACTTGAAATATTCTTTAATTTGTTTAATTCTTTTATTTTATTATATAATGTGCAGTGTTTTATTGGCGAATCAGCCATTGTGAAAAGCGATTCATGTATTATTCTGTATTTATTTTCAGATACGAGCCCAATTTTGAATCGTGATATCAACTGGTCGTAGCTTGCTGAATTTCTTTCTGATTCCATGATGTTGATAATGCATATTGAAATGGTCCATCTTTATTGACTTTGAAACTTTTTACTATTACAATGCTGTAAATTTTTAAAACTGTCAAGTTAGTCACTTTCGTGCATTATCATATGTCTGCTAAGGTTTTAGGGCAGCGTTAATAAATTATGTTGCATTTTAAGTCACGATGCTTTATAGCTGAACTTTAATTATTTCAGTATTTAATGAACATTATGAAGCTTATTATTCCGATTATCAGTCTAGATACAGGCACATGTGAAATCAGGGGTGTTATTTTATGGAATGCAATGGAATATAATATTGTTTAATTATTATAGTGCTATGACCTTTGCTACTCCGATTGTGTTAGGCTTTTCTGAACGTCGTATTTTGCGTGTCGAGCAAAAGAGTTATAATGAGGTCTTGCATCATAGCTGTGGCCGCAGTAGCCTTGCCATGCAGCATGATGATTTATCCCGCTATAGCTATACTAATATTTTGGTCTTCATTTGAGTGTGAAGACAATAAATTTCTAAATATATTATAAATATAACTCGAAATTTGCATAGCTGGACCAAATCGTCAGGATTGCTCCAAAATAAATTTAGAAAAAATCACACCTTCTTCCGCTGAAAAACAATAAATCATTTTAAATCATATTGTAAGTGCTTCCCAGATTATAATATATAAATATAGCAGTTGATAATAAAAATACCAAGATAGATAATTAAAGGAAGCTAACACGGCCTATAAAACGAGAGTATAAATAACGAATGTAAAATATGAATAAGAGAGTTGGATCTAGACCTGTTGTGTGTGTGAAGTAAGCTCGGCTCGTTACAACTGGTGGCAGCGGAAAAGTGCATGATGTCGACTGCAATTCTTCCGAGAAAATTTGATTATGGTGATTTCGACGCTTGGTTACGAGAGTTTGATGCCTGCTGCTCCGCGAACGGTTGCGAAACCTCCCGCTTTCTTACGTGGTCGAGCCGCAAGTAACTTCCATGCTGTTCCTGCGGCTGAGAGACGGACTTACGACGATGCCGTGTAATGGATGCGACGAGCCCTTTCCGAAGCTAAACGCGAAAATTTCTTCGCTGATTTCGAACTGCGACCCGAGAAGGATCCGGCCATATACAAATGGGAATTAGAGAATATCTTTCAAAAGCTGACCCATCTCTTTCCGATGATGCTAAGTCCGCGTTGTTGACGAGGCAGTTCTCGAAACGTCTACCACCAACCCTGAAGTTAAAAATGCTGGAGCACATGCCTACACCTACTCTGGCCCAAATAGTCGAATTCACACAACGATTTCGTGGGCTTGGCCTACCAACCGTACCAGAGACTCCTCGTGTTCACATTGACGCTATCGCTCACCCACCGCATCCACCTGATCCACAGTTGAAAGAGATTGGTTGCTGGCATCGCCGAGAAACAAAAAGCACTCGAGAACCGCCTGAACCGTACAGAGACCTCTGCGAATCCCTCCCCTCGGCCGTCGTCCACTGGTACCTGCTATCCATGTGGTTTACCGTTTACCAGGGCATTTCGCTCGAGATTGTACGCGAAAGCGACCCTTCAGTGCGCGTCGAACGATGACTTGCTACAATTGTGGGAAACCTGGTCACATCGCACGAGAATGCCGCTCATCGCATCATTTAAACTACAATGGGATGGACGGAAAGTCGGTGGAGGTCGCGCCCATCCTGTCGTAAGTACAAATATTATTGATAATTGTACAGTTATCCACCCATTTGTTGACTGTTTTGTTGACCAAGTCCGTGTTAGTGCTCTCATTGACTCAGGATCAATAAAATCAATTACATTACGGGACACCCGACCAGTCGAAGGAACAAACACGTTTTAGTTGTGGTCGATCATTTCACCCGATCAAAAAGTCAGCACAGTTGCGCCACTCCTAGTCAGTCACATTTTCTCCATGTTTGGCCCCCAGCAGTCTTGCATTCAGACCAAGGCAGAAATTTTGAGAGAACGCTGCTGCATAAAGTGTGTAATTTATGGGTATTACGAAAACGCGCACTACTAGCTACCATCCTCAGTGTGACGGACAGTCAAAGCGCCAAAACCGCACAATTCAGCCTATGCTTTCCTCCTTTGTTTGTAATAGGCGAGATGATTGGGACTTGTGGCTGGATTCAGTCACGTTCGCTTACAATGAGGTAGTTTTTGGCCAATTACCTAGGCTGCCAGTTGAATTGGAATTAGGCATGCCGCTAACAACACCATCCATGCCCCCAGAGCGAATATTTACAGTCAGTTAGGTCAGCATTTCATGATATTAGACGCATAGCAGAGGAACATTTATCAAAAGCATCGGAGAACCAGGCAAAGCTCAATCAACCGACAACTACTTGATGGCCTTTCAAAACAGTCATGTTGAAAAGACCGAGAGGCTGGAAGTTCCGACATAGATAGGTGATGCCTTATAGAATCCTAAAACAGGCTGGGGTAGACTATCATATTGTTTCAAAGGGATTAGGAAGTAGGCAAGTTCAAGGTGGCTATGTTACACCCCAACAAGGCGGAATTGACGGATTTCCTCGCGCTCGACCTGCCAGACTCAGACAAAACATTAACCCGCCATTAAGACACGGGTTTGATTGAAAGCATGTCCTCGGGACGAGAACATAAGCAGAGGATGGTGTGACGGATATCGGATAATGGAGTAACTGAAATATATATAGACTAAGTATATAAACACCAAATAGAATAAGGAAAAGTAAGTTGCCGCGGATGCACCATTGCAAGTGCTTCCGAGTTCCGAGATTAATATATAAATATAGCAGTTGATAATAAAAATAGCATTGTAGGTAATAAAGAAGCGTACACGCCCTATAGAACGAGAGTATAAATAACAAATGTAAAATATAAATAAGAGAGTTGGATCTAGACCTGTTGTGTGTGTGAAGTAAGCTCGGCTCTTTACAAATCGAGAAACGTCAAAATGACACTACATGGAAAAATATTTCATCATTTAATAACAAAATTAAAAAAAATGCAAATTTCTACGTAAAAATTTCTGCTATTCTTTGTACTCTGCTACATTTTAGTTGATACAAGGGAGAATTATTCGAAACAAGTGTAAAAATATCGCATTCGCTGCAAAGGAAAATTTCTGATCGTAGATCCTTTAGATCAAGCAGAATCCAAGATGGCGGACTCACCGGGTACATCTGGAAGCAATCCAGGCAAAAGGCATCCAGTTGACAAGTTTAGCGTTTATTCTTTCTATGTTGACAAGACTAGCGCATTTTCCGCGGATTGGCAATCGAAAGAGTCAAAAGGGCTCCTAAGACAAAACATCGAAACCATTTCCTGCTAAGGTTTTCATTTAATTAAACAGGTCTCTTCAGTGGACATTCCAAGTGTCATTTTTATACAGAAAGATTTTACATAAAGAAGTAGAACGATTGTTTTAAACGAGTTTCTACCGAGAACTGAACTCGGATTTTCGGATTCAGAGTTGGAAGTGACACCATAGTCGAAATCATAGTATAGTCGATACACGCACATTATTAGGATAAAGCAATTATATTCCCCGTATTCCAGGTATGGAGCCCAGGTTTACAAATATATAGAACATGCATGTATCCTAAGAGAGTCATCTAAAAAACCTAAACTGCTAAGATAATATTCCAAGCCGGCGGATTGTTGTCACGAAAATAAATTGGGATTTTTCATGCACTAATTAATAAAATAAAGATAATGAATCTTGCTTAAATTTATCAAAAATAAGGGAGCGAGCGGAGTTGTACCACTGACCTCTCGATCTGCAGTCGAATGCTCTACCACTGAGCTACACTCCCGATCGTTGCATGCGCTATGCCTGTTAGATTCTATTCTCTTAGATACCTTTAAAAACTTTCCCCGCTGTTCTTAACTTATTCGGTATAGCACAAGTGAAAAGAAAATAAAGATGAGCTTATATATTCATGGCATATCAGTATTGGGCAGCAAGCAGGGTGGCGCAGTGGAAGCGTGCTTGGATACCATAGTCGATATCATAGTATAGTCGAAACACGCACATTATTAGTATAAAGCAATTTATATTCCCCATATTCCAGGTGTGGACCCCAGGTTTACAAATTATTATATAGAACATGCATGTGTCCAAGAGAGTCATTCAACAAACCTAAACTGCTTAGATTATTTACCACACCAACCCATTGTTGCCACAAAAATAAATTGGGATTTTTCATTTACTAATTAGTACAAGAAAAATATTCAATCTTCCTTAAATTTATCAAAAAGAAAGGAGCGAGCGGAGTTGAACCACTGACTTCTCGATCTGCAGTCGAATGCTCTACCACTGAGCTACACTCCCTGATCGTTGCATGCGCTATGCCTGTTAGATTCTATTCTCTTAGATACATTTAAGAACTTTTCCCGCTGTCCTTAACTTATTCGGAATAGCACAAGTGAAAAGAAAATAAAGATCAGCTTATATATTCATGGCATATCAGTATTGGGCAGCAAGCAGGGTGGCGCAGTGGAAGCGTGCTGGGCCCATAACCCAGAGGTCAATGGATCGAAACCATTTCCTGCTAAGGTTCTCATTTCATTAAAATGGTCTCTTCAGTGGACATTCCAAGTGTCACTTTTATACAAAAAGATTATACATAAAGACGTAGAACGAATGTTTTAATTGAGTTTCTACCCATAATTGAACTCGGATTTTCGGATTCAAAGTTGGAAGTGATACCATAGTCGATATCATAGTATAGTCGATACACGAACATTATTAGGATAAAGCAATTATATTCCCCATATTCCAGGTGTGGACCCCAGGTTTGCAAATATATAGAACATGCATGTGTCCAAGAGAGTCATTCAACAAACCTAAACTGCTTAGATTATTTACCACACCAACCCATTGTTGCCACAAAAATAAATTGGGATTTTTAATTTACTAATTAGTACAAGAAAAATATTCAACCTTGCTTAAATTTATCAAAAAGAAAGGAGCGAGCGGAGTTGAACCACTGACCTCTCGATCTGCAGTCGAATGCTCTACCACTGAGCTACACTCCCTGATCGTTGCATGCGCTATACCTGTTAGATTCTATTCTCCTAGATACCTTTAACAACTTTTCCCGCTGTCCTTAACTTATTCGGAATAGCACAAGTGAAAAGAAAATAAAGATCAGCTTATATATTCATGGCATATCAGTATTGGGCAGTAAGCAGGGTGGCGCAGTGGAAGCGTGCTGGGCCCATAACCCAGACCCCAGGTTTACAAATATATATATTTGCATGTATC